CTCTTTCCCAGGACGCGTCCTGGGAAAATGGCACGTATGGTCACCCTACTTTAACACACCATTATGGCTTTGACGTAAAGACATGGTTAAACCACACTGTTTTCATTTACTCCACCCTAATGTTGTTCCAAAACCATATGACTTACTTTAACAAAATGAGATAGGGTGCTTCACAAAAGAGTGCTGCAGTGACGACGTATTTTTGTGGGCCAACATTTGTTTTTTTTGGTTGCTTCAACAAAATCCCAGTAGTATCTGTCCATTTGCTTTTGAATTATTACAAAAACTAAGCTCAACCAAAGTTTGTTTTTTTTTACATGTTTTGCTCATTATGATAATCTTAACAAATAAACACAACTTTTATGAATTTCGAAGCTTAAATGCAATTGGCAGAAGATTTCAATGTCACCACCATAGAGCATTGAACACCTTCAGTTTCTGAACACCTTCAACTTGTTTCCAGAGTGTGGCCTACGAAAATATGTCACCCTGCTGTGATCTATTCGAAGGCTACATCCTTCATAGTTCAGTCCATCTAAAGGCTTCTATGCTAAATTCCTCCTCAGTGTTAAATGCTAGAATGACACTGTTTAGTAAGTCTCATTAAAGTTTCCACACCCAAAGTCACAAAACAAAAATAATATTATAAACGCGGCGCGATGCAATGCGTAAAAAGACAGTATAAGTCATTATAATCCTTAATTATGTCCCCACTGGATGCAACAAATGCCTCGTTTATAATGGGTTTTAATGTTTTTGTCTCGTCGCTCCGGCCGGACAGGGCATTACAGTATAGTAGGGGCGTAACATTTCCATCACACGCTTGAGGTATTCGGCCAATCACAACGCACTGGATTGCTGGCCAATCAGAGCACACCTCGCTTTTCAGACCGATGAGCTTTGTAAAAATCAACGCATTTCAGAAAGGCGGGGCATAGAGGAGAAACAATAATGTACAGTATGTGGAAAATAATGTGTTTTTTTAACCTTAAACCGCATAAACACAAATCATTACACCAAATACACAAAATCATGTTCTTTTTAGCAACATCATATGACCCCTTTAAGTGTTTTTCACCAAAACTGGGAAATTATCTTTTTTTTTGTTTTTTGCTTACCACAGACATTTTTGCTTATACTGCCACTGGACTGAATTCACCCAACTGGATACGACACTTAAATTAGTTAAATTATTAAGGATGAGGGTGAGTAAATGACAGAATTTAAATTTTTGGGTAAACTCTTCCTTTAAAATGACCAAGTTTGGAAATACTGTCTTAGATCACTGGACACCTTTGAATCAATGATGTGACTAATGATCCAAATGTCACCATGCTTGATCTCCAGAAAATAATGGTGAGATTAGGAGCAGGGTAGCAAAATAATACAAAGCATTGAGGATTTTACCAGTTTTCCAGCTTCCTGTAAATTCACAGATTTATTCAACATCTTATTCAGGCCTAACCTTAAAATGGGTTGGGAACATACAGTCAGCATGGGGTAAGCACATTCAGAAGTAATGTACCAGCACTAAACATCTATTTTAACAAGTCACTAGTGGCTGTTTGCACTTTTCCTGCTCTTTGTAACATTTATTTTGACAAGTCACATACAAATACTAACTGAAATGGTGTGTGTTAGGTCAGACAACAGTTTGTCATCACAAAGATGACTATAGAGATCTCTTTCCTACAGTTCTGATTTTTAGCTTTTGATTTGTAGGCACTCCACAACCCTACACAGATTATTTCTGTCTTGGCATCATTTGGAACAGTATGTATTAGAATGGGGCAGGGTTGAGCTGGAACATCAAGGTGCAATATTTATTTTGTGGATTGGTTCAGCCTGAGACAGGGGTGCTGCACTCATTTTGGAGACCAATGGATGGAGGTGCGTTGCCAGCCACTGTGTTGCTATAAGCCCTTCGGTTGAGCTGGATACCAGTAGTTCTTGAAGGCATAGAGGACTGTCCATTCTCTAGAGAGCTGTGTTTGCAATGAAACAGGATGAGGAAGCACCCGTAAAACTGCACAAAACACAATAAATTAGCACTCATATTTTCTGACACACAAAAGATGCAGAGCCATTTCAATTGTGTATGACATTTCAATTTTGTGTGTGTAACGGGGCTGACGAGACGTGAGACGTGTGGATCCATCTGCAAGCTTTATTAAAGAGACGTGGTAAACAGGCAGGGTCAAACAATGGCAAACAGGTATATGGCGGGCAAAACACAAGAATAGTCCCAGGGCTAGCGTAGGTCACCGATCGGCAGACAGAATCACAGGGGCGAGACGAGAGGGAAAAATCCAGGAAAACAGGCAAAGATCAGAAACCGCGGAAACAGGCAAGGCAAGGCAAAACAAGGAAAACACAGAGACTCGGAATGGGGTACGGGCTAAACAATACTCAGCAGAGAAAGGTGGTTAGAGTGGGTGTTATATAGTGAGTGAGGTGATTAGAAACAGCTGTGTGCAATGAGTGCAATCAGTGCAGTGTGCAAATCGTGCAAAGAATGATGGGATATGTAGTCCGGGGTGCTATGCAACAGTTTGTGTTGTGCGAGAGTCAATGTAATGGAAAGGGTGATCTCTGGTGGTGAATAAACGGAAGTCCATGGACCGAATTCGTGACAGTGTGACAGATTGCCTATAGCTTACTTTGAATTGCAGCACCTCAGTGCATTATATATTCTTCTTTTGGAGTTATTATTTTTTCTTTTTTTATGGCCAATTGAAGTGGGAGTATCTCAATGACATGTAAAAAATATTTTTAAAATCTAGTTTAAAACACTTGTGCCAGGTTTTTAGCAATGTACTCTTCATATTCATGTTGATTTCACATGGTTTAGAAAAAAAAAAATTGTAGCATTTTAAAAAGAAACATTTTACTTCAATGACTCTTAAATGTGATGTATAGTCATCAAGTAAAAAATATATATTTTCTTTACACTTTACAAGAAATACATGTCAGGGTACAATTAATTCTTATTTTCAAAAAGTCCTTTAAATATAGTTTTACATGGATTATTAATTCATATCATGGATTATTGATTCATATATACAGTATCAATGATTAATTAGATGTTTGGAGTCACACCACCTGACTCCTCATTTTTCAACCTAAACTAACCTTATGTCATAAAAGGTCAAATGATCTGACTTATTAACCTTCAGCAGCAGTCTTGATATAATTTCCTTTTTTATTATGTTTTTTTTTTCTGTGTGTTGGTTGCAGCAACATTTAATATTATATTGTTATTTTATAGAAAATTAATATTAATTTTCTATAAAATAACAATATAATATTAAGCCAAACTGATTGAAGCCAGTCTTCTTTTCAACCATTTAAAAATTAATTTTAAATCAGAAATGAGAAACATGCCCATCTTTGAAGAGATACATTTAAGTCATTATATTTATAAATTGCATTTTTAATGTATTTTTGATTAATGAATATATAAGACAAAAATAAGAGTCACGTCATTGACCCAGTAATTATCAACTGGAATGTTTTATGGACTTGTTTCTTCATTCTGATGAGATGTCCGATGTTATGTCACTTGTCAAGAAGCAAGGTTCAGAAATAGCTGTTTACATTCAAACCTTAGTGTGTGTCATGTGATCATCTTTTCACAGCTTCTGTAGTATGCCTAAAGGATGGCAATTAAATTCAAACCCACACACCCTGCTGGTTCTCAAATGATAGCTGGGTTGGTGTTAGTCAGTACACTTGGATCACTTTGTTGCCTTGACAACCTATAGATGTGGACACTGAACAAACAATCTGTCTTAGGTGATTGGCTATCCTAAGGGGTGGATGCCTTATTGTTCTTCTCATGAGACTCGATGTCTGATTGGCTTTGTCTCGGCCTATCCAGGCCCCTGATTGGCCTTCACATTGGCGTGTGACTATACTGCCAAGTATTTGATGCGTGTGTCCCCTGTGTGTGTGCATGTATGCAGTGAGACAACTCTCTTGTCTGATCTTGGCAGGGTGCTGTCAGGCTGTGTGTGTGTTGCCAGCCTGCAGGCAGATAACAGAGTCTTGATGTAAAACTAAAATACAAGGCTTCAGAGAGGTGGCCAACAATGAAGTACAGTACACACAGCTGACAGAATGTGTGCAGTGTACTAATGTCTTATCAGATTTAAACAAGATCTTTGAGGAGATTGTTTCATTTACTCAACATCATGTCATTCCAAATCTGTAAGACTTACTTTCTTCTGTGAATGTACTGGTTCATTTTTTCCCTTTTTAGTGAAAAAAGGGAAAAAATGAACCAGTAAGACTTAAAAGCTCCAAACCCCAGTGAGTGACACTTACAATGAATGGGGTTTGAAACTTTCATGTCTTACAAATGTATTACAATTTATTACACTACCAGATAAAAGTTTTGAATCATTAATATTCTTTTATTTCTATTAGGCATACCAAGGCTGCATTTATTGGAGTAAAAATACAATAAAACAATAATATTGTGCAGTTTAAAATAACTGTTTTCTATGTGAATATATTTTAAAATCTAATTTATTCATGTGATGGAAAATCAGAATTTTCAGCAGCCATTACTTCAGTCTCCAGTGTTGCATAAGCAGTGTAATTTGCTGATTTGGTGCTCAATTATTAATAGTGACCCTTATTATTGTCAATGTTGAAAACAGCTTTTGCTGCTTAATATCTTTGCGGAAAATATGATACTTTTTTTTTTTGTTTTTACCAGATTCTTTGATAAATAGAAAGTTCAAAAGAACAGCATTTATTTGAAACAGAAATCTTTTGTAACATTATACATGTCTTTACTGTTAATTTTAATTTTGATTTAATGTGTCTATGCGGAATAAAAATTGTTTCCCCCTTACCCAAAACCTTTAAATGGTAGTGTATGATGGTTTCCACTAACATATTAAACAGCAAAAACTGTTTTCAACAATAATAAGAAATGTTTCTTAAGCAATACATTAGCATATTAGAGTGATTTCTAAACCATCATGTGACACTGAAGACTGGAGTAATGGCTGCTGAAAATTCAGCTTTGCTATCACAGGAATAATAATATTCAAATAGAAAACAGTTATTTAAAATTGCATTAGAATTTCACATTATTATTGTTTTTACTGTATTTTTTATCAAATAAATGTAGCCTTGGTGAGTATAAGAGTTTTCTTTCAAAAACAATATTATAATTATTCCAAACTTTTGACTGGTATTGTACAGTACAATAGATTATGTGAGAAGCAAACTGAAATGTAAGTTGTTATTCACTGATAATCTTCACATCTGGATGGACTCATGTGAGCTACTCAGTACAGTCATTATTAATTATATATATTGACAGATATATATTGACTATATCTGTATATTGACTATATCTGTGTGTGTATTTAACAGGTATAGTCGTGATGATGAACTTTTGTGAGGAGGTCCATGTGTACGAGTACATTCCTTCCATGAGACAAACTAATCTGTGCCATTATCATGAGATGTATTACGACGCAGCCTGCACATTTGGGGCATACCACCCTCTGCTTTACGAGAAACTGCTTGTCAAGCGAATGAGTACAGCTTCTGAGAAGGACCTCAAGAAAAAGGGAAAGGTCACACTGCCAGGATTCAGTAAGATCAAGTGTCCACTGTGATTTACAGACTCAAACGTACAGTCGCATAAAAAGGTGTACGGGTCTTCAAGACTGTACGAGCCCTTCAAACTTAAACTAACACAGACTTTTATCATCTAATAGGGGTTTTACCCATAGTTCTTGTAACAAACTGAGACAAGACATTACAATGAGGAGGGTAATTAAGCAATTTCAAAAGTCTGATCATCTCAGATGGTCCTTATGCTGAAAGACATGTAACAGAGATTACATACATTTAGAGATTACATATGCTGTGTACACAAAACATGGTTGTGATGCAGGACAAAACGAGAGTTTCAAAATAAATTCTCAATTTGAATGTTTAAATATGGTAAGCTACAGTATGAAATGAGTCGAAATGGAAAGAGATTTCTCTTTTCTGTCTATCTGAGCTGTTCTCATAATATTTTGTGGTAATTTGTGATTAAATCTCTTGCCGTTGTCATTGGTTGAATGACACTTCAAAGCTGTTAATGTACTATAATGTACTATAAGTGTTAGATTTTAACTCTAGATAATTGATCAGTGTCATTTTTAAAGGTGTTTTATGAATAATTCATTTCATAATATAAATCTGTTTTGAATGTGAACTACTACTGACAAACCTCTCTGAGAAGAGTGTCTTGCTCAGAAAAGTTTAACACTGACTGTTGTGCATATTATTTCTTTTAACCTTTTTATTTACGTCTTGCATTTCAGTAAAAAGTTTGATGTTTTTCAAAAACCTGTAATATATTTTGACAGAAAATGGTGTCGCTGTACAAATACTTAACCTGCTGTTATTGTTTAAAGAACTCACATTTTGAAAGGAGTTTAGTATTATTTATCATTTCCTACAATCAATTTTGTACTCTGCATCGTTCCTTCTATAAGATGGTAATTTGTTTCATCATTGTGGATGTTGGATTAAGATTTGTGGAAGGAATGTTAATTTTTATGGAACCATGGTGTATATGATAAGAAATCAAATCCCATGAATTAATGCTAATTAAAAAGTTGGAATAGTCAAACCTGATTGTTCATAAGGATGTAAATAACAGGGTTGATGACTGTGCTGCTTTTGGCAAGGAGGGACGGCACCACGCTCGCAATGGGTGTGATGATCCCCGGACATCCAAACGTGGCCATCATTGCGACAACCCCATAAGGCATCCAGCACAAAAGGTAGCACACCACTGTAGTGATGACCATAAATAAAATGTGGTACTCTCTCCGTCGTGCTGCTGTCTTCCTGATACGCCCTACCTGAGGAAAAACATGTACATTGAATTGTATTTTTTTTTTTTGCACCAGCAGATGATTCAGACCTGGTCTTCAGTATACGCAAATCCCTCATGAAAGCATTTCTGATTATGTGTGTACAATTTTAACACAACAGGGACAGATTTCACAACACAAAACCGCTGCCTGCAGTGCAGTTTGCAATCATCTCTAGAACTAAACAATAACTCTCTGACTCAAGCTGAAACTAGGTCAATATCTCAGACTCCAGATAAAGTTTAAACCACCTCAAAACGCCGGTGAAATCTGGAATCCACATTCTCTACTATGCTGAAAAATAAGATAAGTCAGCGCTATTATGCACTTTTTCGGAATAGGTCACAAAAAAGGATTATGTTCTTGATGGGACCTCATGAAAAATAGCCTCTTTTAGAAGTTTCTGAGATCTCAAATACTCAAACTCTGTTTTTAGCTTCTAAAAAAGCATTGTGCATTTACAAAATAAAGAAGACCCTTTATGAAGTGTGCATTATATTTGGAATGCAATTTATTTGTTCCACAACATACACTTCACACATATGCAAAATTGCTGTGATTTTAGGACATCTTTAAAAATATCAATAAATTATATTCCTGAGCCTGATGAGTCGGTGGTTTCTCTAAACCAGATGGTAGGTTATTTCTATTGTGAATAACATTTACACTGAATTGAGGTGTTGTGACTGAATTTACCTGTTTGACAGCGCAGAGGAGCCGTCCGTAACAATACACCATGACCAGCACGGGGATTCCCAAACAGAAAATTAACAGACAGATGATATAGGAATGTGACTGCGGGGTGTTAGCCGTCCATGTAACCGAACAACTGGTTCCTGCCCCTTCCAGTCCATAGCTACTCCAGCCCAGTAAGGGGGGAACCGTCCAGAACAGTGAGTAGAGCCAGGAGCCCCCGACAGCTAACAAGGGTTTGCTGTAGTCTGGGGCCCTCTTGTTGTAAACAGTTAAAGTACTGTAACGATCATACGAAAGGATTGCCAGAGAGATCAAGGATACAATCCCTGTTAAAAAAATTCAAAGAGAAATTAGTCTGTATGTTCATGCTCACCGTTAAAGCCACTTGTATAATCAAAGACATCATGTGACAATTGTTATTTAAATGAATAGAAAAAAAATGCAAATGAACCCGGGGATATTTCCTTAAGCTCCATGAGTGAGTTCTATATTTATAAACTCCAAGGTAAAGCTGTCCAGAGAAATGCATGAGAAAATGTAAATACCATGTTTGTTTGTTTATTAATGTTTGCATTTGTACCATTATTATTGGTCTTAATTTAGCTCTTTGCTGTTTCAACATAGATTTCAACAGATAACACAAAGTCAGCTACACTAAATTATTCGAGCAAAATAATTATTATTCAGCACTGACTTTTCATTGTGCTATAAAAAAAATATTGTGATATATGATCATATGTAAACAATAATAATATTTTTTATTAATAACATTTATTAATTCAGATATTTTCAAACATTGTGATGCCAAAGACCAAATTATGATGACACCCTAATGAGGGACCCCTTCTAAATATATAAAGGCAACTATTTATTTTAATTCACTTTTCACAAAAAGTGTTTTGTTGTTCCAAAACAGATTTAAAGTTTTAGAGATAATATTAAAAAGTACAAAAAAATAATAATAATAATTTCTTACAAATTACAGCGATGAGGAGAAACTTCCTAGAAAGATACAACAAACGACTAGATGTCAATGTTTTACAGAAAGATATTTACAAATATTTACAGTACGATATTTACAAATAGATTTTTTCTTTCTTTCTTTCTTCCTTTTTTTCTTTCTCTAAATTGAAACCTCAAAGCATCCACATAAATCAACTCTTGAAATTTTAGATGATAATAAATTTTACTAAAATAGCACAAATCTGATAATACAAGCGACTTAGTTTGATTAATGTTTATCTTATATGTTTATCTGAATATATTTACATACATTCATTTCCTGACAAAAACATAAATTATCAATTTGAGAATGATTGCCAGGGAATAAATATGG